TTACTTCAATGCATTGTCACAAATACAAAGCATGTTAAGTTCCCCCTCCCATAATCCATTCATTACATGTAGTATCATTGATGAGGGTAAACACACCAAGGATAACAGGTAAGCCTTCAACACCTACATATCTCATTGTAACTAATCTAATAACAATCGACTCCTTTTATTCAGCCCACGATGAAATGAGTACGGAATGCCGCCGTGGCTGTCCTTTTCGGCGAAAACCGGTACTCACGTGATGGAAAGCAACTGGCCCTAAAGTCAACGAAAGACAAAACAGCGCGCAAACAATCTCGAGCTTCTTTCCCATCTTCGTGCAGCATCCGTGTAGTTTGTAGAGTATATAGCTTTTAGAAACATTTGTGCGTGCTAGTAACTGAATTCCAGATGACCGTAATGTAATAGAAATGCCAGGAAATCCTCATGGAAGCGGAATACCCTGAGAGACCAATGAAACGTATGAAGCTCGAGGCAAGTCCCCCTTATTCTTGTGAGATTTCTTAGCAAGCTAATCACGCAACAGAACCCAGAAGTTCTTCGATTTTTGGATCTCGAAGCTGAAGTATCAGAGGCGGAAACTGATGATGAGAATAACAGCAACGAAGGTGTGTATCATACGTTGTAACGATAGCTACTACACTTCTAATCATTTTCAAGGTGATCTTATCGACGACGATGAAGACATCGATGATTCGATCTCAGGAGATGCGCACCGCAACCTTCTCCGTGAAGCGTTGATGCCGTCCGATGACGATGTGTTTTGGGAAAGCTTTCTCGAGCGCGTCATGGCTCATCGACATATTACGGAAGAAGACATTCAAGATATCGGAAAACCGTCTTTATGGGCGGTGCTTGTCAAGGTAACGCTAATCCAATCTTTGAAGCTCATATTTATAAGGACTTTTCTACTTAGCCTGGGTATGAGGAGGGGATAGTCTGTCGAGTCCATCGGCGGCTCATGGACCCTAGGTTTCCTGCACAGTTTCGACCCCCAGCGGTCTTTGGTTGGAAGGCTCTACCTGGTAGAGTGTTTTTTGAAGGTGGTTCAGAGGAAATGATTCGACAAGTCTGTAATGGCCTACCAAACGTGATGGTCTCGAAGACTTTCCACATACCCGATCCCAACCCCTCGATTTTCAATGTTCCGGATACCTTTCGGCCACGGCCTCATTCATGGGTTCGACTGCACCGTGGGATCTACAAAGGAGATCTCGCCTACGTTCGGGAGGTTACTACTTATTCAACATTGCTCATCAACCTCCTTGTGGTACCACGCGTTGATTATGACCCACCTGCCGCCAAATTCAAAGGAAGCCGGATTATCGCATATGAGGACAGAAATAATGAGATGGACGACGAGTTTGCAGCGACCTACAAGCCTGACCGCGAGCTATATAGAAGAGCTTCAGCACCAGGGCGGCCTCACCAAGCCCTCTTCAATCCGACACTGGCGAAGCAACGGTATCGACGGGCCTTTCAACAACGCAACAACCTGTTTTTATTCCGCGGAGTGTTGTACGATGCCGACGGATATGCCTATTTCTCAGAAGTCGACACGGATTGGTACACGGCAGAAGATGTAGTACCAACATTGAGTGAATTGGAACTTTTCAACGCCTGCTCGGACATTCCTCTCAACGTCCGACAGCACACGATGGCGAGAATGTCAGCCAGGATCCTTCGGATAGGCAATGAGGTAAAAATCACGCACGGAGATTCAAGGGGGCTTCTTGGAACAATTATTGATGTAATGGAAGGCGAAGCCGTCGTCTTTTTGACAATGAAGGATGTAACAACTACCTTACCTTTTTCGTCGCTTTGAAAAGATCTCAAAGTAGGGGATGAAGTCCGCATTCTTTCGGGAGACCACGAAGGTGTTACAGGTTGGGTAGTGAATCAAAATGATGACTGCGTGTGCGTCTTTGATGACAGGACCGGTACTGAGGTGAATATCTTGCTTTATAATATATATGGCTCTTCTAACATTCCGTCATCTTGTAGATAGAGGCATCCCCTGGGATTGTTCAGTTCTTCACCTCCCCCTTCATCTTTGGAACGGGGTCCTCGGACTTGAAAGCTTCCTTCACAGATGCGCAAAAGCGTGTCATGAAGGGGGACTCCAATAGTCACCTGGTAGGAAGACATGTGATGGTCACCCACGGGAATTTTAGAGGTTACCGAGGCAGAGTAAAAAGCACAATTGGTGAGAAAAGGGTCTTCGTCGAGCTTGAGGCGCTCCTCCAACGCCCACAAATTTTGGACATCAGTTCTCTACACATCATGTAAGCCCATTCTCTTATTTTTCTGAATCGATACTAATTAGCTTCCAGCGCTGATGAAAGCCTTCAGCACCCCAGGCCTCGAGAGCTTCTTACCGACTTTACTTACCCACTCGAACCAGCACCTCCGCCTGGTACTCTGGCAGGCTTTTTGTTCCCTGGTTACCCCTTGCCAGATTCGCAACCCTCAATCCCATATCCCGCTCCTTTTCGTGCACAGACTCCGGCCATTGCAGGGCCATCTACTCCACTTCCTAACTTGGAAGATATCCCGATGACCCCAGCTTGGAACCCAAGCTCACAAACCCCGCGCCGTGGTAATGATGGTAATTATGTTTCTGTTAGAAAGTCAATAGATACTGACAATTGTGGCAGCCTCTTCTCCGTATTGGCTCAGAGATGGCTGCTTCGCCAACATGAGACTCAGCCTTCGTCTCATCAACACCAAACCTAATTTTCACAAGGGCGAGCACGAAGATAAGTGTGGGGAGTTCAAGGGAGTGGTTGGAGATGTGGTCAAGGTCCAGCTAGGCTTCAAAGTGTTGGAAGTGCCATTTCCATACCTTATACCTGAAAGGCCGGAGTGCAAATCCCAGGTCGTTACTGCATTTACCGGTCCACATAAGGGGTCGCCGTTTAGAATTAAGGAGTTTGGCGAAGAATTTTGTGGCTGCTCGATTTTGAGATCAACAATGCTTTTGAGAAAGGTTGATGTCAAAATCGCCACCAATGAACTGGTAGTCACCCGAGACAGTCGGCGATAAACTACATATACCGTAGATATATTACAACTGCCTTAGAGAGATTTTTTTGTATGTTTTACACATATATTGATGGCAAGGTATATATTCTTGATCTTATTGCAAGACTTTGAGGCTTGAGATGACTGAACGAACGAACTTGAACACTCACGATTTATGACCGGCTTAGTCAGCTCCAGCCGGCTTCTTAGCCGGAGCTGGAACTAGCCGAGCTGTGGGAGCCATCACTCGGCGGTTCTGGCTGGGCTTCGGCTAAACTCAGCTCGGCTCCTGACTTGAGCTGGCTCCGAGCCGGAGCCGCGGCAACACTACTCCTTCCCTCTTGGCTTCAGCTATGCAAGAAGTTCAGAGTGAACACTTCACAGTGTGAAAAATCAACAGAACTCAACTTCGTCCTCTCTTCCCACCACCCTGACACTGTCACCACTCTTCATGACTGCTGCCTTGCTAGTGATGAGCACGGGTAACCCGCGGGTGTTTTCACACCTACCTTTACCCTTACCCGATGCAAACCCGTACCCTTTCCATGGGTAAGGGTATTTCAGGGGTGGGGGTAGGGGTTTGTACAGGGTTTGGGGGGTCGAAAACCCACAATGGGTGGACATTAGGGTCAAGTATAATGTACACTACATAGTCTAATCAATCAGTACATAAGTCAAGGTGGCGCCCCCCTCTTCTTGTCGTGTCATCAGATGTCATTGTGTCGGTCGTTCGACCGTCCACTGTCATTGTCGTCGTGTCGTCGTTGCAGCGCGGTGTCATCATTGTGTCATGTAATCTGTGGGGGACATGTTAGAGACGTGGGTTGGGACAGGGGTGCTCACCGGTGGGTCATAAGATGGATGACAACGACGAATGACGAATTGGCCGTTGTTCGTCGTTTGGTTGCCACGTTGCTAACAGCGACGTAGCACCTGGATTCAATGTCAAAGGAAGGAGTGAGATGACAGGGTTGTAACGACTCACCTGGGCTCGAGTGGTGGTGCTGGGCATTCGTCACTTTTCATGGTGTTCGGTGCTCGTTGACATGCCAGGTCGTCACTGTCACCTGTCATCCATTCGGCTGGTGATGTGGCGTCGCCTCGTTGTTGTTGTTGTTGGCATGTGTAGTGGTGGTTCGGGGCGTTGAACCACAGTTGGGGAAGGTGGCAGTGATTAAAGTGTGGTTCGGTCGTTGTCGGTTGTCACGTCACTGACGTGGCACCTGTTTGTTGTGTGAAGAAAGGAAAGGGTGCGGGGGAGGGATCACATTGGCACCTGAACTAATGTGGGCAGTGACGACGATTGCGTCGTCACCGTCTGACGACGTGGCACGTCCGTTGACGTGCCAGGTCGCCGTCAGCCGTTGGGCTGCTGACGTGGCGTTGCCATGTTGTCGTTGTTGTCGACGTGTGCAATGGTGGTTCAGAACGTTGAATGGCGGTGGTTGCGGAAGGTGGGGTTGTTGGTCATGGTTGCGGGTGGTCATCGATGTGGATAGTGGTTGTTGAGAAAGAAAAGTGTTTGTTTGTTGTTGATGTATGTAACGTTCCTGGCAAACACCGCTCATGCGGCTCACATGATCTATTACATAATCTGTTGACCATCCTTGACTTACCCTCACAAAAACCCCCAACCCTTGTCAAGGGTTGGGGTTTTTTGAGGGTCAGAAAATCCTAACCTCTACCCTTACCTTCCCTACCCTTACCCTTGTACCCCTAAGGGTTTGCAAACCCTTGCACATCACTATGCCTTGCATTGTGAGTGCCCACCGCCATGCCAGCTAAATGAACATTGACGGTGGCACATCAATGGTCCCTTTTGGACATGCCACGCTGTCCACACAACAATGACACATGCCATTGTCACTGTCCACAGTGGTACAGGTGAGCACTTCCATATTCTGTTCTTTCTCCTCTCTAATTGCCACAACTCGCCCAGTGGCCGCTGTAACGCCCGCCAACCATGACCATGTCACCACCTTGCCCTCAATCACATTTGGCGATGACGACAACACCCTTGAACGATAACTACTTCAAGGCTTTTGCCTCACCGGAGTCGAAACTCTGGCACTTGAGGTATGTATCCCTCTCCCTCTTAACCCCACTCACCCCGCCTCACCCAGAAAAAAATTTAGTGACTCTATCGATCATGTAACAGGGTACGTCTACATCCCCCTCTCTGAACAGCACCTCTGGGGATGATTAATGACACTGCCCCTCCCTCTAGATGTGCCAACACACATGTGCTTTTCTATAGCACTGCAGAGGAGATGAACGGGTTGCAAAATGATGATAGGGACGTCCAGGAGTGGTGGATCAATGCGAAAGAGGAGCAGGATGGATTTGAGAGGAGGCAGTGGAGGAAGGAGGAGGCAGTGGAGGAAGGAGGAGGCAGTGGAGGAAGGAGGAGGCAGTGGAGGAAGGAGGAGGCAGTGGAGGAAGGAGGAGGCAGTGGAGGAAGGAGGAGGCAGTGGAGGAAGGAGGAGAAGCAGTTGCGAGTTAACCAGTATGGCCCTAGTGGTTTGAACATAGATTATAAGTTGTTATATGTGTAGTCAGTTGCCATGCAATACAATATGAATTCTTCTTCATTATGTCTAATTGCATGAAATGAAGTGTCAATTCAATGGTAAATGAATGGCCAATTGTGTTGGAATTGTGCGCTAGGCGTCATCAATTAAGCACAATTAAATGGTGCCCATTTTATTTTAATTAATCCTGTCAATTCTATCAATAGTCTCAATCCCATCATTTGTGCATAATTTACAGTCAATTCTGTATAAATCATATAAATTACAGTTAATTCAGAGTCTCAGGATTTCCTGATGTTCTTCCTTTGAGGACCCATGGGAAATGCCAAGACACCAATTGCAATTGTAATATTAGATTTGATTCATATTTGATGCACTTGTGATGCATAGTACTGAATAATAATGGAATACAACTGCTACAGTAGTGTAAGACAGAATACAACTAACAGACTGTCAGTCAAGTGGTACAAGCATGGAGAAGAGATATTTGTGATGTTAATATGGGACTGAGAATGAGAGGGCAAGAGATAATGTAGAAGGTATCCTAACAACAGCTTGGTCTTCACACCATTACCACTCCAGCTTGCCATATGACTTTCATCAACAGCTCCCCACATTTAAAACACAGGAAGTGCATTACATCAGTACACCCATGGACAGCAACAGCTGAGGATTTATTCAAGTGAAGGATTTTCCTTACACATCAATTGTTGGCAAATGCAGGTATCTTGCCCCTTGCACTCAGCCAGACATTGCCTATGCTGTCCATGAACTTGCCAAATGTATGGCAAGCTATGGGCCATTGCACATAGCAGCTGCAAAGCACCCACTTCAATATCTTTGAGGCACCACTTCTCACAGTATCACTCTTGCAGGCTTGTAAATCTGACAATAGCTCTTCAAAGCCCTGACACATTCTGATTGGGAATGGGCAACAGTCAAACATCCTGCTTAATTGAAGTCCAAAATAACAAGCAGTTGTTGCTCTATCCCCTTGTGAAGCTGAACATATTTCAACCACCCACTGCATATATAACATTCTTTCATTCTGAAATGTATTCACAGAACAGGGTTTTCCACAGACTCAACTGACATCTCTATTTTGCAGCAACCAAGGCACTGTAATTTGCATGCATGATCCTCATCCTCACTCTAAAATGAAGCATATGTCAATTCATGAACATTTCATTTGCAGTTGCACTGTCAAATGTTTAATCAATGTTATATATTTCCCTAACAAAGAAAACATCACCAAATTACTTCCCAAACCACTCCAACACACTCTTCATGTATGCTGGATCAAAATGCTTCAACTAGACATCAGTCAATGGAGGGTGTTAGAAGGTGACCCATCATCATTGCCTTCTATAGCTATGTCCAAACCTGGACAGTGAGACAACTCAATACTATTCTCTCTGTACCAGGTATGAACTCTCTAACTACTTAAACTGAATGATATTCTCACTGTACCAGATATTATAAATACATGTGTTTAAGAATAGCTGTTTGAGATTCTCAAAACATGTAATGAGCAATGTTGCTTGGAAAGTTTGAGTAGACCCATGTTGGATATGAATGTAAAAAGATACACTTGAAATAGAGTGGGTCAGATCTATTGTACATCCTACTGAAAATCCAAATGAGAATCTATGATATGAGAAATTTTGGAATATTTCAATACCTTGCTCTTCAATATGTTGTGAAATTTATTTGCAATTTTGGTAAGATGGTGAGCTAATACTATGTATATGAAAATTAACTAGACTCTATAGTAAACAAGACTCACACTTTTTCTTTGATTCAGTCCTTGACATATTTGTATTGGTTTGAGATCTAATTTCTGCAAGGAATGCCACTGCTTTGGCTGTTTCTGGATGTTCTTCTCCAAAAATCTTCTTTCTTGCATCTACAACTTGGAACTCCATCCTGGCTGAATCTTGGTACTTTTGTTGATGATAAAATGTTATGGCTAGATTTTCCATTCCATTGACTGTATCAGGGTGATCTTCTCCAAGAAGTCTGTTTCTCATATCTAGAACTTTGATTTCAAGCTTCTCTGCATCTGCATATTTTCCTAGACTCCTATCTGTATCTGCAAGATTACCCATGGCCCAGATTGTATCTGGGTGCTCCTCTCCAAGAATTCTGTTTCTCATATCTAGAACATTGATTTGAAGCTTCTCTGCATCTGCATATTTTCCTAGACTGCTATATGTATCTGCAAGATTATTCATGGCCGAGATTGTATCTGGGTGCTCTTCTCCAAGAAGTCTGTTTCTCATATCTAGAACTTTGATTTCAAGCTTCTCTGCATCTGCATATTTTCCTAGACTGCTATATGTATTGCAAGATTACCCATGGCCGAGATTGTATCTGGGTGCTCTTCTCCAAGAATTCTGTTTCTCATATCTAGAACTTTGATTTCAAGCTTTTCTGCATCTGCATATTTTCCTAGACTGCTATATGTATCTGCAAGATTACCCATGGCCCAGATTGTATGTGGGTGCTCTTCTCCAAGAAGTCTGTTTCTCATATCTAGAACATTGATTCGAAGCTTCTCTGCATCTGCATATTTTCCTAGACTGCTATATGTATCTGCAAGATTATTCATGGCCGAAATTGTATGTGGGTGCTCTTCTCCAAGAAGTCTGTTTCTCATATCTAGAACTTTGATTCGAAGCTTCTCTGCATCTGCATATTTTCCTAGACTGCTATATGTATTCGCAAGATTATTCATGGCCGAGATTGTATGTGGGTGCTCTTCTCCAAGAAGTCTGTTCCCCATATCTAGAACTTTGATTTGAAGCTTCTCTGCATCTGCATATTTTCCTAGACTCCTATATGTATCTGCAAGATTATTCATGGCCGAGATTGTATGTGGGTGCTCTTCTCCAAGAAGTCTGTTTCTCATATCTAGAACTTTGATTTCGAAGCTTCTCTGCATCTGCATATTTTCCTAGACTGCTATATGTAGTTGCAAGATTACCCATGGCCCAGATTGTATGTGGGTGCTCTTCTCCAAGAAGTCTGTTCCCCATATCTAGAACTTTGATTTGAAGCTTCTCTGCATCTGCATATTTTCCTAGACTCCTATATGTATCTGCAAGATTACCCATGGCCCAGATTGTATGTGGGTGCTCTTCTCCAAGAAGTCTGTTTCTCATATCTAGAACTTTGATTTCAAGCTTCTCTGCATCTGCATATTTTCCTAGACTGCTATATGTAGTTGCAAGATTACCCATGGCCCAGATTGTATGTGGGTGCTCTTCTCCAAGAAGTCTGTTTCTCATATCTAGAACTTTGATTTCAAGCTTCTCTGCATCTGCATATTTTCCTAGACTCCTATATGTAGCTGCAAGATTACCCATGGCCCAGATTGTATCTGGGTGATCTTCTCCAAGAAGTCTGTATCTTGAATCCAGCACTTGAATTTGAAGCTTCTCTGCCTCACTGTAAAACCCCTGCTCCCTCAACATTTCCCCAAATTTTTTATGAGCATTATCAAAGTATATATCAACCATTTTCTTCTTTGTCATCACACTTTGCTGCATATTGGCCCTCAAATGAGTGACCAGAATCCTTCTGAACTGATATGGCTGCTCATTGAAGTCTTTTGGAAGAGAGCAAGCTAACATTCCATATGCCATCAAATAGTATTTCTCTCTATCTTCTAAGGACATTCTGTCTCTTCCCCATGCATGAATGAGTGGGTGCATGGTATAGATGCCTTTGGATGAGACCAGTTTGATCAGGCTAAAGGACAGTAATACTCGGACTCCCTCTTTGAAGATGTAATCATCCCATTTTCCTGTTTTGTGAAGCTGAAGCAGTGTGCGGTCTATTATGGAGGTTGCAAGAGGCAAGGCTGACCCCTGCTCATTATCTCCATATTCCTGAGTAGCAGCATAAGAAAAGATTTGTTCTGTAATACCATCAAAGTGAAAGAAGGCAAACATTGCCAGCAGAAACATTGCACTCTTAGCTGCCTCAGCTTCTTGAGAATCATCATTTTTAGCTCTTGCCTGAA